TGAGGCAAGGCGCGTAGCCGAGTCCTCCGGAAACTCCAAACGAACACAAATAAGGGTAATCACCAAGTGTTCCAATGGTGATGTCCAAGTCTTGAGGACGGTCAAAAATGGGGTGTCTACAGGAAAATTCGAGTTACGTAGCATAACTAGAATCAAATTTATTTTATATATAAATTTTGCAATATATTAATTGAATCACAATTATTTATTTTAATTTTGAGTAAAATTGGTGATACAAATTGTGAGTTTGTAAGTTTTTTATTTTAATAATATATAGATAGGAAGACCCGTCAAAAAAGGAATTAACATAGGCAACAATAAATCCCGACCATGAGAATCTGATGACAAGGACCGATTGACGCACGGTTATCCCCCATTGTCTCTCCTTCTCAAGCCTTCAGGGCCCTCCATCTCCATTACATGGTTTTCACGAGCTCATCCCATGCCCCTCTCTCTCTCTCTCTCTCTCTCTCTCTACATAGGTTATTTCTTTCTTTTTATCCTCATCAATCACTTTAATGGAGTTAAAGGACTCAAGATTTTTATTGTTGCTAAAAAAAAATTACAATGAGAGGAAAGGAAAAGAACAGTGAAAAAAATACTATGTAGTATGATCAAAGTAATATTTTAAAAATTAAAAAGCTTATGCCTAGTTGACACAAGTTCACTCATGGTTGCCATGCCACTTAATTTGGCCAAAGAGGCAAATTGTTTTATTTTTTATTTTTTGTGAGTTAATTACCTAAAAATTCTATTTATCCATGTTATGATAGCTCAGGTCTTATCTAAGATTTTTTGAATCAATAAGTTCTATTTAATAAAACTGAAAATGTTATTATTTTTTCTTAATTTGTGAAAACTAAGAATATTATCAATTTTACATATTAATGTTTTAGATAATTGTTTCACTAACTGATGAAAAAAACAGAGTATGAGATTAAACGCTTTTACTTTTTTACTTATTAGTTTTTTCATTTTTAAAGTTTTTTTTTATTTTTTTATTTTAAGTTTTGCACATGAATGTTCCATCATCATGCTTCTTTAAAGGCACCAAATTTTTAGTTTTTCACAAAAAAAAAAAAAAAAAAATTCAAAAAAAAAAATCAGTTTTTTCAATTTTTCTAAAAAAAAATTTGCACATGATTTTTTTTTTTTTAGTTTTTTCAACTTGAAAATTGATGTTTTAAAGTTTTGAAAATCAAAATAAATGTCAAATTATCATATTCCTTTATGAATAATCATAAATGATGAATAATCATTGTTTGAGGGATAATTTTGGCTATTAAAAATTTAATGAGATTTGAAGGTCCAAAAATCTTAATTACGACTTTATAGAATATGAGTTCATAAATTAAAACTTGTGTGTAAATACAATTTTTTTAATTTTAGGGCAAATTATACTAACGGTCCTTGTAATTTGAGACTTGTGTCACATTGGTCTCTGACCTTATAATTGTAATATATTTGATCTTAAATTTTTAATCTCGTTTCAAATAAGAATTATTGAAAACATTGTTGCTCCATTTCAAGGGTAAAGTCGTCAATTTAATAAAATATAAAATAGTTTGACAAAAATAAATGTCAAAAAATTATTTTTCAAATTTTAAAAAATATTTCTACCCACCAAAGATGAAATTATATAAAAATGATAAATTTTTTACCTTTTTATTTTTTTAAAATTTTTTTACCAAATTAATTTTTATTATGTGTTTAGATGATAATCATGTAATGAGTGATTGTTTTGTTGATATTTTTGGATGATAATCATGTAATAAATGGTTGTATTTGTTATTAATAGATATTTTTGATGGTTGTCATGTAATAGATGGTTATTAGGTTTTTAATGTGTAATCGATATGTTTAATATATGAAATATTTTTAATTTTATATTTTTTTATTTAATGGATTGGTTTAATAATGACATCAAAGTTGTCGTCATGTTTGACTTTTAAAAAAAAGTAAATTACAAATACACCCTCTGAGTTTTGCTTAAAATACAGATTATCCCCTGTGATTTAAAAAATTACAAATACACCCTTATTAGAATTTTTTATTTAACAGAATTAACTAAAAAAAATGAATTTCATAATTGTTTTCCTATATAATAATAAAATTACCTAAATTATTAATTGAAACAAATTTTTAACATTATTAAAAACTGTTAATTGACTTAATGATTTATTAATAAAATGAACAATTTGTTATGAAATTAGGAACCTCAGGGGGTGGAATGTAATTTTCAAAATCACAGGGGCGATTTGTATTTTAATCAAATTTCAGAGGGTGTATTTGTAATTTATCCTTTAAAAAAATAGAAACTAATTTAATGAAAATAAATATTAAAAAAAATTATTTCTACCCTCCCAAAAGATAAAATTATATAAAAATAATGTATTTTTATTTTTTTTTTCAATAATTTAATTTTTAATTTCTTATAATTTTTTTCTAAAAATAGATTCTAAAAACCAAACTAAATAGAATTTTATAACTATGAAAGTTTCAGCATTATTCATTAAAAAAAATGTCATTACATTTCAAACAATATACAAGTTAATCAACACAAAATAAGTTGTAAGACGATTTTGTCCTTGCAATGAATCGTTTGTAAAGGAAATATCTTTGATTATCTTTGTTTGGAATAAGATTCAAAATTTAAAATCAAATGTATCATAATTAAAAAGTCAAAGACAAAGGAATATAATTGCCAAACTATAAGGACGGTTAGTATAATACGTCATTTATTTTATTTTATTTATCATAGTCCAGAATTGATTCAAAAACTCTTTGGACCGCTTCAACAACACAAACTTGAGATACATGCAACTACTTACTAGTTTTATATATCGGGTGAGATAGGATATTAAGTCACGAACCTATGACTCCTTAATAGAATTTGAATGACTTACCATTTAAATTGATATTCTAAGACCATCTCCAACCCTTATTTAAATATTTCATTAAATTTGAATTTGATAAAAAGTGCCTACTTTTTGAGCTCCCACCGTATCATCAAACTCATATTAAATGATGGCAAAATCAATACTTTCATCAAATCAAAAGAGTGTTTAACGTTTTATCGAATTTCGTAGCTGAGCATTGGTAGGTGACCGGATTGAAAAAAATTTGGTAAAAATTTTCTCTAAGCCGGACGACCAGCCTGAAAACCAATTGGATTTGATGAAGCGATTAGATCGCATAATAGTAGATCAAACTTTTATCCAAATTTTTACATAAATTTAATCAAAATTGGAGAAGCTCTAAGGATTATTTTAGTGGTTACTGAAATTTTGTTTTGCTACGAGGAGAGAGAAGTAAAGAGCCACCCAAGAGAGGTAGCAAGACAAGCATCAAGAAAAAACTATCTTCTTTTCTTTTCTTTTTTTTTAATTTTTTTTTTATTTTTTAGTAAAATACAGGGCTATATTACTACACCAGAAAGTCTACTATCCCAAAATTTGAACCAGAAACTGATCTAGATGATTTAAATTTATAGCCCATATTCAAAATTGTTATTGTAGGTCATTCTGTGAACAAATCTCAACCCTTGATTATTAATTTTGGGTACATATCTGTCTCAATTTCCTAGAACCGTTCTTTCCACACGCCAATAATTAGTTGCTAGAATGATTTTTTCATTCATCTAACATGAATAAATTTTACAAAATTTTCATGCAAAAATATTTCATGCTGAGAATGTGAATAATATAGTTACACATCTTTTTTATAACTGAAAGTTTTTAAATAAGATGGTGATTAGTAATTTAACATGGTATCGAATTATATAATAGATCATATGTTAAAATTTGCCCATAGAAAAGGGAGGTGTGTTTAGAATATAACTTAAAAAGTTGGGTAAATTACACTGTTACTCTTTTTAGTTTGAGTAAAGTTTCATTTTGATTCTTGTAGTATTAATTAGAATCTTGCATTTTTTTATTTTGTTGCATTGCGATTCCTCTGCACTTATCATTAGAATTTTTAATAGAAATAGATCACACGTAAAATCAGGAGACCAAAATGGAATTCAAAAAAACTATTTCGGTCCTCTAGTTTTGCATATAATTTTTTTCATTCAAAATTATTAAAATTGTTCAAATTAAAATTATGATAATTAAAGTGACATTTCATCATCTAACTTATGAAAACTAATGATGTAATTTGTTTGAAAATATATACCCCCTAACAACTTAAGATTTTAGATGAGAATTATTTGCTCATAGGTTGAAACGTGAATAGTAAGTTCAAGTCTATGGTGATGAAGAAGCATAATACTCGACTAGTAATAACAATTGGAAGTCATTTGAAAATTTGGATTTAAGTTTTCTTACAATCCAATAAGTTAGGAAGCACACAAATGGAACACAAAATTAAAAACAATATAAATCAAATACATAATTGAATGCAAAAAATAGATAAATGCATAAAATATTTAAAAAATGAACCGTATATCAGTAAATATTATAAATCATGTCTATTTATTATTTTGTTACTATTTGTTTAATTTTGGTATTCTTACTCATAATTGCTTAAAATCATAAGAACTTCTAACTAACCATTTCTCCAAAACAGAGGGAGAAAGAAGTTGAGGCGAACAAGAAAAGATAATAATCAATAATATTATAAATTTGGAAAAAAATAATTAAAAAAATATTGAGAATAACACATTTTTAAATCACAACCATTCTAGATGAAATTCATATTTTATCAATTTTAAATTTATAACATACAACTAATTTTGAAATATTTTTTTTATGATTGGTAATATTTCTGTATGGGATACCATGGTAGTACTAGTGAACTGCTAATGTGACCTGTGCCCTACCCCCATTTAGAAATTCAATTACGCTGGGTGATCCCACTGCCATGGCCAGCTAGACACAGACAGTGATCACTCTCTCTCTCTCTCTCTCTTCCATGCATGAGTTCTCTTTTCTTTTCTTTTTCCGAGCACTAACTCGAAGACCACCGCATCACAAAGAAGCTTAAAGGCGAAGAAACTTCGCCCACTCAAAAAAAAACCCTAAAAATATAATAAAAACAAAAAGAGATTTGGGAGAAGAATGAGAGCCTAAAATAACAGTAATAATAATAAAAGCACAAAACAAGCCCTCTCCTCCCATCTTTCCTTCATCTTCTCTCTCTCTCTCTCTCTCTCTCTCTCTCTCTCTCTCTCTTGTTTCTCTGGTATTCAGTATTCACCTCTCAGTAGTGTGTTTGTGATTCTCCGCCATATATTTCCAAAAAAACCCACCACCCTTTTTAAAAGAAATAAAGATCAATCTTAAAAACATGGTTTTCTCATCTGTTCCAGTCTACTTGGATCATCCCAATTGGCACCACCAGGTAAAGTTTTATCCAATTTTCTTTCCACATATCTTCTTCAATTCAAAAGATGATCAATATTCATATTCCTTTGTAATCTCTTCTTGAATATACCACATATATTAGTTTTTCTTGACTTTCTTTGTTTTCTTCCTTTTGGTTTTGTAGTTACAGCAACAAAATTACCATCATCAACAAGGAGGTGTCACTGAAAATTCTCAACTTCAGCCCCCACCCCCATCCCCACCACCTCAACTGAGTGGTGGTATTGGCGGCAGCGATGGTGGCTCAGTCAGACCAGGTTCCATGGTCGATCGAGCTCGGATAGCAAAGATACCGCTTCCAGAGGCAGGTCTAAACTGCCCGCGATGCGATTCCACTAATACTAAATTTTGCTACTTTAACAATTACAGCCTCTCTCAGCCGCGACACTTCTGCAAGACGTGTCGCCGGTACTGGACAAGAGGCGGTGCCCTAAGGAGTGTTCCGGTGGGTGGTGGCTGCCGGAGAAGCAAGAAAATCAAGAACAACAGTAGCTCAAAATCTCAGGTCACATCTGAGAACCGAACAAGGCCTAATTCTAAGTCAACAAGTGCCAGTCCCTCTAGCTGCAGCACAGATAATAATATATCTGGTGGTTCTGGTCATTTTCCTCCACCACCACAATTTCCATTCATGGCAGCTCTACAAAACCTAGCTCAGTACGGTGGTGGTGGTGGAGGGAACAATATTGGGTCAAATATCGCTGAATTTCAGGCGCAGATGGCGGCAGCAGGTGGTGGTGGAGGGGTGGAGCAGTGGAGGTTGCCTTTCTTGGGTGGTCTTGAGACACCCACAAATTTGTTGTACCCGTCCTACCAAAGTCAAGGATTTGAAGCACAATCTTCTGGTATTAGTACTCAGATTGGTTCAGTGAAAATGGAAGAGAATATGAACAACCAAGGGCTTAATTTTCCAAGGCAGTTTATGGGTATGACAGAAAATTACCAGTACTGTGGTGGGATTGGGAATACATGGAATGAGTTTGCTGGTGTAAACTCATCTTCCACCAGTCATCTCTTATAAGTATAAGATTGTCCTTCATGATTCAATATTGTTGAAAGATGGCTCTGATTTTGAAGCTTCCTTTTTTGTGCCTAGCTAGAAAGCTTCAATCAACAACTACTCACTGACACAAGTTTTGCAAGGGCTGAAGCAACTTGACCCTCAAGCATCAATCAACACTGGAAAAAAGACGCGATGAAATTGTGGCCGGGGCTTAATTGAGGAACTGGTAGTGTTTGTGTTTTACTTACCTATATGTGGTTTTGTTTATGTTGTTTATGTTTTTAGAAGGGCTTGTGTTTTGTGGGTTTGTTTAGGTAAGTGTGTGTGAAGAAGAAGTGTGATTTTGTTGTATTTTCATGGAAAACATTTTCTTGCAAACTTCTTTCCTTGCTTACCTCTTTAGGCATTGTCATTATAGTTTAATTGTTTTCATTCAGAGACAGATCACTCCAAAGAGTCCATTTTTTCAACTGAGAAAGGAAAGTGATGTGAATTGTTATGTATTGTGCTATGCAAACACAAATTTCATTCAAAATTTTATTAAACCAGAATTATGTTGCTCCACGAAAATATGTTTTGGTTTAGATTCCCTGGTTATTCAAGAACATTTGTCTTCCAAATTTGATGTCATGAGTTTTGCTGATCAATGAAATGCAGCTGCATTATTAGGCAAGGCACTAGTTGCTAAATTAAGAGCTGAAGCCTCATCAAAAAATAGAGGACATATACAAAAAGTTTTATCCATTTTATTAGTATTAGAATATAGGTGATCATTCTCTCTCTTGATCTTTCTATCCACTCATCACCCCCCCAAAAAAAAAAATGGAAAAGAAAGAAAGATCTTTCAATCTACTCACATTAATATTTTTAGGAGGGAAAATGATAATTCTAACCTGCTGAATTTCACATTTAAAAAAAAAAAAAAATAGTATAGAGGCATTAAATTTCATACTGAACACACACATGATAGTCTCACATGAAATGATAGAACTCAGATCAATTGATATATGTATTCAGATCTTAGAATGGTAAAATTCATCTGATAATATATAATAGCTCTCATCACTAAATAGTTTGAGCTCACTGAATGAAGACTCCTAAGTTTGTGCACTATGAGAAAGAATACCATATTGTGATATTACAGTTACTAATCATTTTGTAATAATAAGAGTATCCACAGAGGGAATTATTTTGTAGTTTGGAACATGGAAGTTGAGAAAAGATTGACAAGAGTCCAGAAAACGCCAAAATATCACTCAAAACCATGCATTATTTCAACCAAATCCTGGTGAGAAAGATTGTTGTATTTGGCTAACCAAAATGTGTCCAAACAAGATGGTATTCTAGGAATTGAAATTGGGAAAGTCTGCGTTTTCAGAAAAACCAATCAAAAAATTACTTAAAATTCTAGATGTAAAGTGTATATTTAAAGTTTTTATTGTGAGATATATCATGAATGAATCTTGACCTTTGATTATAAATTCTGAATATTTTTTTGATTTTTTTTTTAAATATGTAGACTGATCCAAATTATTTGATTGAACATATCGTTAAGGTTTCTTCTTATTTTTCTTATAACTTTCTATTTATATATTTTTAAAAAAATAAATAAATAAATAAATAAATTCTCTAATCAAGATAGAACAAGATCAATTTTGAGATTCTTTAGTTTTGGTTAATGAAACAATATCACTCAATCATTACCAAAATGACTGATGATCTCACCAGAACGCTTTCTAATTTTTAGTATTCACATTGGGAAAACTTGGCTTTCACTTTGCTTGGATTGGTTTGATTTGCCTTCTCTCTAGTCTCTCTCTCTACGTATAAATGTTACATTAACGCCTTATATTTGAATAAAGAAGATGTTTTAGCGCAGATCTTCCACGCTAATAATTACATGTATATATATATTATTCAAACACTAACCGGGGAACTGAGGTTGGTAGGCTAAAAAGAAAGGAATCACCGAGTGATTTGCTTTTGCTAGGACCAAGGAGCGACCTAGCAATAACCAATAAAGCAATCAAAACAGATTTTTGACAATAAAGCTCTCTCTCTCTCCATTACAGAGACAGTCAAGTTTGGGTCAGAGGACGTATGCAGCTAAAACAGTTAAATTTTGATATGTAAAACCAAAGGAAAGGAAAAAAAAAGAAAAATAAAAGTGAGCTGTTGTGCTGTTCTTGTTGTGTTTTTTTTGTTTTTTTAATTTTTTTTTATGTGAGGAATAATATTTGGGTCACTTTTCATAAATCTCTTTTTATCTACTTATATTCTATTTAGTTTATATTATTTTTTTATATTTCAATAAATCTTATGAATGACATAGTTACCAAAATATCCCTAATAATATTCACATTTACAATGTGAATGTTCCGTGATATGAATGTTCACACTATCAATGTGAATGTTTACATTGTCAATGTGAATATTCACACCATCAATGTGAATGTTTACATCGTCAATGTGAATGTTCACACTATCAATGTGAATGTTAATATATCAATGTGAACATTCACATTCACACGTCAATGTGAATATTCACATTGTAAAATACGAATGTTCACATCACCAAATTGCTAACCGTTCAAAAAATATTTATAAGGGTAGAAATGTGTATAAAATATCTTAAATATGAGAATTAGGATTTGATAAATCAAATGTCCAAACAATAGGATCTATTAGAATATAAGAATATCTTATTAACTAATTGGGATACAAATACTTAAAAAATAAATTTCTCATAATATTTTACACGTAACAGTGTAATAATATGATAAATCAATTTGAACCATCCACGTGTACTCCACATAAAAGAACGGCCTAAATCATTTCAGGTGCGAGGAAGAGCTAGCAATCAGAGGGCTTGGGTGACGTGCATGTACATGGGATTATACTTGTCTCCGCTTCAAAATTTGAATTGAAAGGTGTCGTTCATATCTGTAAAACGTGTTTTATTTTTATGATTTGAATTATGTATATAAATATTACTTATAAATAAATTTAGATTGATTTGATAATTATAATATTTTTATTTTATGATATTTATTTTAAAACAAATAAATAACCTATTTTCAAAACCACATTGATCATTTACTTTCTTTTTCATAAAATAAATCTAATAAAATAAAGAGATTATATGATTATCAAATCTTTATAAAATGAATAGTTTTAATTATTAAAAGCACATCATGATGGCTGTTGTGTTTAATTTTTGAACGGAAGAGAAGTTTAGGTAGGTTTTAAAATTAATGAATATTTTTAAAATTTTAAGCATTTTTTTTTTACTTTTTTAGATGTACTTTACTTAGATGAATCAAAAAAGTAAAAAATTTGTGAAAAGATATTTTAAAAATTAAAAAATACATAAAAATATGAAAAAGATACTAAATTTTCGTATTTTTTGGTATTTATTGAATTTTTAAAAGATTTTTTCACAAAAATTATACTTTTTATGTGTATTTATGTTAAGTGTGTCTAAAAATTAAGAAGAAAATTGCTTAAAATATTTAAAAAAATTTAATAAAAATAAAAAAAAATACAAAAAATAAGAAAATAAAACTTTTTGAAAAGTGCTTTTGTAAAAATGAAACTAGACAAATTGAATAATTTTTTAAATTTTTGACTAAAATATTTAATTTTCAAACGAAATTTTAATCTGTGTATCTATCACCCCCACATGGATAGGCGTGAAATGCTCCCTCCCTTAAAAGGTCTGTTTCCAAGCCAACTTTCGCTTTTCTAGACCTCTCTTTATCTCCCCATTCTTGATTAGGGGTGGGACCGGTGGTTTTGGGGATAGACTTTTTGATTAGGGGTGGGACCGGTGGTTTGGGGATAGACTTTTTAAATAATTTTTTAATTTGTTTATTAAAATATGAGATAAAATAATATGTTTAGAATAATTTTTTAATTTTTTTAAAAAAATATGTAAAAAATAAAGTGAATAAAAATAAATATTTTACTTTTTAAAATTTATTAATTTATTTTTTAAGTAATTTTTTGACTTTTAAATTACTATTATTAGCGCATGTGATTTATAGTCTAACATATAATGTTGGGTTGGACTAAATTTTAAAATTATTTTATTAAACAGATTGAGCTTGTAAACAGTTATCCAATTCCTGTCCGATTATTTTATGTTTTATAAATTATATATATCATGTATAGCCATATATTAATTTGTACAATATAAATATATAATTTATTTTGTTTTAATTTGTGTTTAAAAATATATATTTAAGAAGGAAAATGCATACACTAAGTTTGACTTCGGTTGTAATGAATAAATATTAAGGGGTGGTTTAAGATTATCTAAATAAATGTAATTTTTGACTTTTTTTTTAGGGATTTTTATTGATAAGTCCAATTTAGAAGTGTTTTAACCCAAGAAGTCCATGAAGGAATTTTTTAACCCATTTAGTCCCATGTATGTATAGTTTTATTCCATAAAGTCCATTTTCTTGATTTACACTATTTTCTTGGACACTTATGCCCTTATATTTAATTTTGATACCCTTATAAATATTTTTTGAACGATTAGCAATTTAATGAAGTGAACATTCATATTTTAAAATTCACATTGGTAGGAATGTAAAATTGGCCTAAATTTTAAAATTATTTTATTAAACAGATTGAGCTTGTAAACAGTTATCCAATTCCTGTCCGATTATTTTATGTTTTATAAATTATATATATCATGTATAGCCATATATTAATTTGTACAATATAAATATATAATTTATTTTGTTTTAATTTGTGTTTAAAAATATATATTTAAGAAGGAAAATGCATCCACTAAGTTTGACTTCGGTTGTAATGAATAAATATTAAGGGGTGGTTTAAGATTATCTAAATAAATGTACTTTTTGACTTTTTATGAAATATGAGTTGGGTATGGGTTGAGTTTGAAGTAATGTGTTAGAGAAGTGATGTGACTTAAATAAGATGATATGACTTAAATAGGATAATGATTTTTTGATTTTTTTACTTTTTTTAGATCATGCCAAACCAAGCCTTTGTATAATATATATATATATATATATATATAATAAATATTAAATGGTTTATTACACTTTTTATTAGAAGTGGATAATGATTTATCCGATTCACAAAAATCGCTCAATCTGTCCAACCCACATATAAATGGACAGTTTCGCAAATACAATGCAAGCGTATGCGGTTTGACATATGGCATGTTTACAGGTTGCAGGTAGGTTGTTGCGGATTTAACCTGCACTCCCAAGAACCCATCCGCACTTCTTTTTTTTTTTTTTTTTTTTATGTTAACCGTTGATTTTATTCCTATATCCTACTTAGATATTTTTGCCTAAAACAAAACACCCTTTATTCTTTGAACGTACTCTAACATTACATTTGCTAATAGTATTATATCAACTGAAAACTGAATAAATACTGATCATATCATTATTGTTACATAACTGAACTTATCCCGAATGAAGTGTGATTTGGAATTTTAAATTCCGTAATGAACATGGAGTTCTAGTTTAAGATTTTGAAATATGTGTTTGTGTTAATTAATGATTTGATTTAAGATTTTGAATGATTTGTTTGTATTACGAATTAATTTTGTTGTGTTTTTAATTTTATAAGTTTTAATCATTAATTATTAATGTTGGAACATTTTAGAAAATGGGGAGAAAATGGCCCAAAATAAATATTTACAAAATGGAAAAAAATAAGGCTCAAAAATAATTTTTTGAAGAAAAAAATTCAATCCGCAAACCGTCCACACATCCGCAAACCCTATCCGCACAAACCGCAAATCGCACTGCGGGCAGTTGCAGGTTGTCTTTTCCCCAAGCTACATAGATGCAGGCTGGTCCAAACCTATCCACAAACCGTCTAAATCCGAACTGCGAACACCCCTACTTTTTACTACTAAACTATCATCAAATTCTCTATTTAGTCCATGAACTATTAATTGAATCTATTTAGTCCCTAAACTATTATCAAATTCTCTATTTAGTCCCTAAAATATATAAATCAAAATCTATTTAGTTTCTAAACTGTCGATTGAATCTATTAAATCCCTAATGTATTTAATTAAAACTTATTTAGTCCCTAAAAAGATTATCAAAATAAAATATAAGCCCATAAATATTATAAATTAGTAAAACACCTTATCTCCGTTTAGGAAGAAAAAAGCCAGGCTTTTTTGGTTAAAATAGCCACAAAAAACAAAATAGGCTATTTTAGCCACAAAAAACAAAATATCAAATCCAACCCATAATCATTACAATCCTCTCTCACAAAAAAAGTCAAAAAAAGCCAAAAAGCCAAAAAGCTCTTCCCAAACCAGGCTAAAATAGCCAAAAAGTCAAAAAGTCAAAAAGCCAACCCACTTCCCAAACGGAGGCTAGTTAAAATTTTATTTCAAAAAAAAAATCTTAAATTTTTATTCAGTCTTTGAAAAGTGGGCGTCAATCCATATATTGAATTTCCTTTATAGAGATAAGGGTAATTATCTATAATATTTTTTTACTTATCTTCTACAATAGATACATGCTTGCCTTAATATCTACTATTATATGTCAGATTTCGTTTATAATTTCTAATTGATTATTTTTAAGTTTTGCACTAAGTTTTTTTATTACTGTTGTTTGGGATGTCCTAAATAAGTGCACTTTTTGACTTTTTATGAAATATAGATTGGGTTTGAAGTGATGTGTTAGAGAGATAATGTAACTTAAATAAGATGATGTGACTTAAACATGATAGTAACTTTTTGACTTTTTTTAAACATGTCAAACTAGGCCTAATGTATTATTTTGTTCTATTATTATTTGTAGAGAAGTGTTATTATTTAAACTATCAAATTCTACTTCTTCAGTATATCTAATATTCATATAATATATTGGTAAGACTGAAAAATCAAATCCTAATATTATTTAAACACACAACGAAATAAAATATCTTTTAAAGACAATAAAAATTTAAAAGATTTTTCTATAATAAAATCTTAATTGGAAAGATTTTTTACTAATTTCTAAAGCGTATGGACATATATTTTATTTTTGCAATTTTTTTAGGGATTAAATAGGTTTGAATAAAATATTTCAGGGACTTAAAAGATTCAATCGATAGTTTAGGGTACTAAATAGACTTTGTTTTATATACTTTAGGGACTAAATAGAGAATTTGATGATAGTTTAGAAATTTAATAGATTCAATTGATAGTTTGGGGACTAAATACAAAATTTGGTGATAATTTAAGAATAGAAAGTGTAATAAATCCAATATTAAATAATATATAAGTTTGTTGTTGGGTGGAGTTGAAGGGCACTTGGGCCATTGCCTCTCCCTGTTTTAAGAAGTATGCGCTATTTCATTTATAGAGATTGCAAACAAATATAAAAAATAAAAATTAGAAATAATATTTGGTGAAAATTTGTAATTTCAAGAAAGAATAATAGTTTCGAGAAGACAAAATTTAATTTAAAAAGTTAGAATTGATTATTATTACTATTTCTTCAATTTACGATAAACTCCAACTATTTCAAATAAGTAAGGACCTTTTTTACTCCGTGCTCTAGCACTCATTCATCCTTTGTTGATGACAACATAAAATTTCAATTTTAATTTCATCTTTCTTGATCATTTTTCTTTTTAAATCCTTCTAAACTCTGCAACATGGAACAAATTTTTTTATTCTCAACTGGGAAAACATCTCCTTCAATTAAAAAACTGAGGATGCTTACAGTTTTACACAATGTTACAATGGTACAATGTCACATTTCAGCCCCTTCTCTCTCTTTTTCCACTTTGACGACTCTCAATAATTTCTTATAAGTAGGTCCTCAACCCAACAAAAATAAATGTATCAACTTCACTGAGGAGCTTGTGATCTTCCACCTTCCCCTTCTAAATCAGTCGAAGCAAAACCAACAAAAGAGAGACACACAGGTTCTCTACTATCAACGCCATTTTCTGAGGACGGTAGTGATTGCTGGTTCTGAGCCCGAGCCCGAGCCCGAGCCTGAGCCTCAGCCTCAGCCTCTGCCTGGGCCTGCTTCTGCTGCTCAACAAATCTGCTAATTCGCTCGAGCAACTGTGCAGCCTTTCGCTTGCCTCTATCTGTGCCATTTTGTGCTAAATCCACCAGTAGGCCCATCACACCAAGTTCCTGAGCCTCTATGAGATATTGCTGGTCTCCTGAACAGAGGTGAACCAAAACCGCAGCAGCGTTCTCCTTGTTCCTGGGAGACCCATTTCCAATAACCTCAACCAAAACCGGTATTGCCTCCGCAGCTCCAATCGCTACCTTGCCTTCGTTATGGCTAGACAGTATCGCTAGTATAGCTAGCGCCTCATCCACCATTCCACTTTGTGTTTCTGTGATCAGTTGCATCAATGTGGGCACGACTCCAGCCCTCACTGCCTTGCCTTTGTTCCCTTGGTATATGCACAAGTTGAACAATGCTGTCGCAGCATCTTTCTTCCCCCTTTGAGTACCTTCATTAAGCAGTGTTACGAGTGGTGGGATCGCCCCCCAGGCACCGATTGTAACCTTATTTTCATCAACAACCGAGAGGCTAAAGAGGGTCGCAGCTGCATTTTCCCGTGCTTCCATGCTTCCCTTCTTGAGCACATGTACTATACCAGGGACAGCCCCAGAGGATATGATACTTCCTTTGTTATCCTCGTATATGGAAAGGTTAAGAAGCGCTGTGACAGCATGCTCTTGGGTGCGGGAATCAGGTGTTGAAAGGAGGCCTACAAGCAGAGGGATGGCACCTGCTTCGGCAATGGCGGCACGGTTGTCAGCGTTGCGTTTGGCGAGAAGGCGGATTTCACAGGCTGCGGATCGCTGATCTTCAGGGTTACTGGATGTGAGCTTACCGAAAAGATTTTTTATTATGGTACGTTAGCAGGTGAGTCAACTCGATGAAGTCTATTGGGTTGAGAGTGGGGTCGTTTAGGTGGCTCAATCCCATTTGCCTCACACCACTGGGCAATAAGGCTACGTAGAACGTAGTTGGGTGTGAGGGCAGTGGTAGTGAGCCTTTGTTGTGTCTGTGGACAAGTGTCGTGTCCTGCTTCAAGCCATTTCTCGATGCAGGAACGCTCATAAGTCTACAGCAGAGAAAAAGGGAAACATATTAAGGAACAGTAAAGCAATGATGTAATTGAAGTCACAAAGCAAATCTCTCTATTCTGTGCACTCACGGAGCATGTATTAATAGGTACACCTAGACATCAAAAGGTTTGGATGGTAAGGGGAGAAAAAGTTTATGATGCAACTGACTTTTAGCTATCAAAGAATGAGAGGTGCAGGAACACTACCTGCCCCGTGGAGACAATAACAGGATCCTTCATCAACTCCAGGGATATTGGACAGCGGAAATCATCTGGCATAATAGGGGGTTTGTGATTCCCATCAGTGGACACTTGTTCACTGCAACTTGAAGGAATAGACCTTTCCTGTGCAGGAGAACCCAAATCAGGATTCTCTGTCTGCACAAACTCTTTAATTTTCTTAAGCAACATTGACATCTTCTCTATGCTCTCCCCTGGATCTCCATCACTGGCAAAAACCATCTCATGCAAAGCTAGTGATTCTTGGGTGAGGTCATCTATTCCCATTAGCTGCAATTTTTCAGCCACTCTCCTTATGACAGCTGGATCTGCAGACACATCTTTGCTTTTGTTGTAAAGGTATAAGAGATCATCATACAGCTCAACATCGGGTGCATCAACCCTTCCTTTGGCTCTTCTGAATTGAGAAAGAACAAGCTCAACCTGAAGATATATATAGAAGGGGAAGAAAATATTAGACTTAACTATAGTGCTTTTGGGGGAGTGCTCAACTACTTGATTAAAGGAAGTATAAAAGCACTCTTTGATTAAAGGAAGTATAAAAGCACTCTTTCAGTTTGTTACATAATGAATGAGAATACATCTTGGGATCTTTTAATGATTTCCTTCTTTCAAGTTAAAAAAAAAAGGGCATTTCTTGATGAATGAATCATATGGTATTGTATCACAAATGAATAAACTTTATATAATATTAAAAAAATGCTCCATAATCAGGTCTCAATAAAATGTCAGCAGAATTTTAGAAGGATGAATCCCACCTGTTCCTTGACTTCGTCTGATAAATCAAGTTTTTCGTAGGAAATTCCGCCCAGAGCTTGCTCTAAACAAGCCGTCACTTCTTGGAATTTATTCATAATCTGATCCCTCTCCAGGACCTGCATGAGCAACATTAAAAAAAATAATAATAAAAAAAAATTAAAATTATGCAACATAAAAGCTAGCAGCCAGGGTGCAGTTCAATTGCATGGGCATCAATCAGAAAAATGTAGATTACAAATGTGTGTAATGTATATACATAATTGTACCATAGGATCTCAAATACCTCTTGAGCACCAAAACACCAAGGAAGCAGGGTAAATTTGGCATGCACCAGGTATATTTTGTCAAGAGGTAAGCTTTTAGCATAGTAATTAATTAGTATACATGAATACATATGTACCTATAGTTCAAGTATCCTTTTCAATAGACATCAAATTTATATACAAATATATTTTCTTTTCAATTAAATACAAATATAATTGACACTGTGAAGACAAATGTGTGCGCCTGAAGAAAAATGCACTTTCAGTGCACAAATAAGAGGCAACTGGCCTACTGGCTGCAGAACTGCCGAACGGTGGAATAGGTGGTTAGTTATCCACTTTGACATGATTCTATCTTGAAGCATATGATCCGCACTACAAAAATTTTAATGAGTTAATTCAAATATATCATCCAGCTCCAAGTTCCAATTTATAAATTTTCTTCCTTTATTTTTCTATCTCTCTCTCTCTCTCTTTTTCTTTTTTCTTTTTTTTTTGTGCTGGGGGTGGGTTTCAAAAGAAGAGGTAGAGTAGGAACGATTGAAAACCTGCCTTATCCTACATTTATCCCATCCCCATTCTTATCCTAAACTCTGGAAGGAAAATTCTACACATGCTTTTAAATATTAAAACAGAAAGTATTGTAATTAGCCTTCGTTTGGCAATGACTTTTTTAGTTGGCTTTTTTGACTTTTTTAACCTGGGACTTTTTTGTTTGTTTGGTATTCTTGATTGGCTTTTTTGGCTTTTTAGCTTTGGAATAGTGGATTTTTTTTTTTTTTTTTTTTTTGTTTTAATTTTTTTTTTTTTTTTTGTGATTTTTGACTTTTTGTGATTTTTTGACTTTTTTTTGTCTTTTTGTGATTATTTAGCCCAAAATGATAACCAAACACCACCTTAGTCTCCTTTAATGTAAAAATCACATAAATAGCCCTAGATAACAATAAAGAGTACAATTGGCTTTGCTAGATGTGGCAACATATATGGAACAGAGAAGTTACTCAGGGTATTAGTCATTAAGTTTTCTAATAAGGAAAAAAAAAAGAAGAAGGGTGAAGATAATTTTTCAGAGGTAAAACAAATGGTAAGTTTATACACATAATGCACCAATAGAACATCTTTTTTTTACTACACATCATCCAGTACAAGTTAATATGTGGTACACATTCTGAATAAAAAAAAATTAGTAAAATTTGTCCTATATTATCCAATAATAATGACTACATCATATGCAACGGTAAATTGATCTCAAATCAGCCCCTAGTCCAAAAAATAAATAAATAAATAAATAAATAAAAGGCCTGCTTAGTTTGTTGTCAAGCATAATATACAACCTCTCTCCAGAATCAGAGTACCATAAATCGACTTTCATTAATGCATCATAGCACTTGTTTCTTGTGCTCTTTTGCAATTATCAAAGCAATGGAATTCTAGAGAAATAACAGAGTAAAATATCAGTAGATGACCTGATCATCCAGAAAAACCCCAAAACAAGTTCTAGGTTTGGTGCATGAACCTAGCCCCACTGAAGCCAATCATTTCTGTTTTTGCTACCAACCTGACTAATATAGTCAATTATCTATACATATGTACATTGATAACTACATCAATATGTCTTTTCATGTGTGTGCATGCACACGCACAATCACATATACATAAATATATATATATTACAGCATAATCTGTATTACATGATGTCTACAATTAAGTATGAACAGTCACCACGCCTTTTGCTAAGTTGGGAGGATTTGAATATTTTTACTTTTCTTGAAATGAATATTTGAATTATTCTCATCCGTCAATTCCTCTAGAGATCTTTAGATCTTTCAAAATAGGTATGAAGTGTTAATACATGGTTTGAACAGCTCAAAAAATATGAATTTAATTTGAATGGAAGGAGAATGGAAAAAGAAAATATAAAATCACAATCAACCTGACTTGGATCCCTAAATTAATCTCCATTCAAATGCAAAATCATCTTGTGATTGAACAAACAAATAATATAAAAACAATCTTATAGCGACTTGGTTCTTCCATTTTTGCCATTTTCATTTTGATGTAGATTGATTTGTTCATCATTTTTTACAACTCATACTATATAATTGTTCTCTACATATTTTAACTTTTCTTTTGATTCTTCTTTGTGATTCATATATTTGAGTAGATCCATCCCAGTAAGAACCGTGATTCTAACTCAACGGGAATGCATTTCTAATTCAATTCTTACAATAACCTGTAAAATTGTGATTTCAGAGTGGGAACATCACCCCCAACAGGTGATTCCTTCTATCCAAAGAAAATATATCAATTCAATGATGGCCTGGCATTTTCCAATTCCTACTTGTAACCAACTCATCGATGATGCTTTTTGGCAACATTAGAGATTAAAGAGCTCAAAAATCTTAGTCATAATTACATTGCCGATAGTTAATAAATGCATATAAGAATCCTAGAAAGCAAAATTATATATATATTTTATGAACTTAATGCAGACTACTAGTTTATTTTCTTCTCCCTCCAAGCTCAGAATTTCACTCAAGCATTGACACTCAGCATAATTTCTAATACATTCACCAAAACTTAAAAATTCATGATGGAGACTTCTAACAGTATTGACCAATAAACTCACTGCTTAGTTTTTTTATCCTGATTAAAATCAGATAAAGAAGCCAACTAACCATCGTTTGGTTGCAGAGAAAATGTAGAAAAGAAAATTTTAATAAAATAAAATTAAAAAAGCAAAACAAAAATTCCGCACAGCATACGACCAAAAGGAGGGGAAAAAAAATCAAAGTTTTTGTCAGTTTTGTTCTCCAATTTTCTCAGCAAACAAGCTGATAATAACACGCAATTTACAAATCAATCGAAGACAACAACAAGAAGAAGAAAGCGAAAAGTAAATCAACAGATCAATTAAACGAATCGTTAACGAAATCATCAGATTAATCAACAATCGAATGTACAAACCAGGTAAATCTTGCTGCCTTCGTTTCCGAATCTGAGAAACTCTCTAGTTGATTCCAGAGCTTCCTTCAACGACTTTAGGGCTTCGAACGATTCTTCAGGGACTGGCTCTTTGTTGTCCAGAATCTCTTCGAACATTGGAATCAACATCTTCAACCTCCTCGCTAGGTTGCAATACTGTCTCTTCACCACATACCTGTAATCTGATTTTGCCGATATGTCGTTGACGATGTCAATCAAGCTCTTCACCAGAGCTCCTTTCTCGTCGTCTTCCATGGCTTCAACTTCACAAAGAGATCTGGATATGAGTTGAGGCTTCGCCGATGATTATGATTTGACCTAATCTTCGCGGCGGCGAAGGCGGAGGTTGATTGAGCGGCTACCGGAGTAACTGGTCCAAGTCGTCTCCATGACAGAGAGGTTATGAACACAGAAGATTGATTTTTATTTTTCTTGGCGCTGAGTGAAGAGGAAAAGAAACCATGGTTAGGATTTAACGCGAGGTTTTGGAAGCTTGGTCTTAGGAGTGGTTATTGTTATTGGGTGCAGTCACGTGGTGCTTTAAGATTTTGGTCCTGGTGAATTTTTTTTTTTTTAATTTAAAAGTTGGTAATTAAAAAATAAAATTAATTTTAGTTTTTAAATAATTATTTTTTTTAGTTTCTTTAAATTATTTTTTAAATTAAAATAAATTATAATCACCTGTAAAAATTGTAATAAATAGTTCCGTTATGATTGATGAAAAAAATATAATTTACAATTTTGTGTCGAATGATTAAAAAAAATAAAAAAAATATAATAAAATAAAATAATTGACAAAGAAATATAAATCTGTAAGAATATCTCCAACGGATCAGTAAAATTTTTACCAAATCTGAGTTAAAAAAAAATTGATTTTCTCAATCTGATACGAGTAGCTCCAATAGTTATAGTTACGCTATAATGTGTATCAAAAGCGAAGGGGACGTCCGGTGAATCAACCGATTAGGCATTTTTATCACCCAATTCGTAGGCCAATTGAAGCAGATTTTTGAATGAATCGGTCGACCGGTGGGTCAATCGGCCGATTGACCGGTAAACCCACCTCCAACATTACAATATAGTGAAATGATGAAATCTCACATGAATCCTCAGTTTGGTGAAACTTTTGTTCTGTTCTCAATTTAATACCACTTTGGTGAAATCATTGAAGACAAAAAAAGTGAAATTTTTTATCAAATTTAAATTTGATGTTGAATCTAATGCAACATTGGAAATGATGTAATGCTCTGCGGGTACCGGATAATTTTTCTTGTCTTAGGCTCATAGCTGGAACTGGACGAGAGTCGAGAAAAGTCAAGAGGAAAATTAATTTCTTACCCTTTCATTGTCTGTGAACAATAATATTTAATATTTGAATGTAATAGATAATTTATGTAGAAGGTGTATTAATAGATTCTTTATTAAAAAGACATATTAATTATTGGAGGTACTGCTAATATATTATATTATCATATTGTATGAATATTATATTAATAAATAAAGTGATAAATATAATATAATATAAAAGTGATTTTAATTTGTAGTTAATAATAACAACGATAATAATATTTCGGTAAATAATTTAAAATAATTAAACAGTTGTACATGTGATATGTGTATAAATTTATGGGAAGATTATAACCGTCTAAAAAGTGGACTTATTTTGGACTTCCTTTTTTTCTTCTTTTTTTTCTTCTTCTTCGTTGAACACAGGAGAAGAGCAGAGGCGAGCGAGAGAGAAACAGAGTCGTCGTCGTCGTCACAGCTCGTCGCTTGTTGGCCGATCGTCACATCGCAGCCCCACCTCCACCTCTGCCTCCGCCCGCCGCCGCCTCTGTCTCCACCTCCGCATCCACCCAATTTTGTTGCCCCCTCCGGTCCACTTCTTCTTCTCCTTCTTCTTCTTCTTCTCTTCTTCTTCTTCTCCGAATTCGAGCCTCCAAATTCGAGTTACGAATCGGAACCGTAATATAATATAAAAGTGATTTTAATTTGTAGTTAATAATAACAACGATAATAATATTTCGATAAATCATCTAAAATAATTAAACAATTGTACATGTGATATGTGTATAAAATTATATGAAGATTATAACCGTCTAAAAAGTGGACTTATTATGGATGTAATTTTGAGAAATTAAAAAATTATGACGGGTTTTTAAAAAAATTGAAAGGCATAAGAGAACTTTATATCCAGAAAAAATTATTAAAAAAAATGAAATACAATCAAATAGGCACAAAAATCTCTCTTCTTTTTTTTGAGTAAATTACAAACACACATTTTGAGATTTATTTAAATTGTAAAGTACTCCCTATAGTTGTAAAAATTCCATTATGTCCCCTAAAGTTTCTAATTTCATAATAAATAGGTCATTTTATTAATAAATCATCGAGTTAATTAATAGTTTTTAATAATGTTAAAAAAAATTCAATTAATAATTCAAATAATTTTATTATTATATAAGTGAACAGTTAGAAATTTCACTTTTCAATTAATTTTGTTAAATAAAAATTTCTAACAGGGAGGTGTATGTAATTTTCCAAATCACAGACGACAATTCATATTTAAGCAAACCTTAGAGAGAGTATTTGTAATTTGCCTTTTTTTTTAAGGAGATCAAGTCATTGCAGTAGGAAGAACCCAATCCCTACATTTACTCTTCTCCACTTGTTGGTTCCTTGCACCCGTGGGTTTCATCTAATACCTGCAAGTTATATCCAACCTCAATAATATGGTGTAGAGAGTCAGAAATTAAACTCCAAATTAAGAATGGGCATAAGTGCTGAGGTCACCCCTTTAAGGCGACCATGAATGACTACATGAGTAAGGGCTAAAAGCCAAATGGAAGTGGGTCAACAGTGGGTCAAAGCAGGTCCGACCCACCAAAGGTCTAGATATATTCCATGAAGGTAAATGTCTAAGTGAAGTTGCAGAGGCAATCTAAAATTGCTGATGGAAAGAGAAAAACTGAAACAACTAAGCTGCAGAGGCAACATTTGTAACAGCCAAGTTGCGGAGGCACTTTGTCTCAGCGCTGCCATTCCAAGTATTGTCAATACCACCGCCATTCCAAGCGTTGTCAGTTCCGCAGCCATCTGGGGTTTTTGAGGGGAGAAGAAAATCGAAGCAACTAAGTTGCAGAGGCAGTACTTGCAGCGCCCAAGTTGCAGAGGTATTTTGTCAGTGCCGCCATCTCTAATATTGTCGGTCTTGCCATTTGAACTTGCCGCGGGAAATAACTACCACAGCAACTATAGCCGCCGTAACTAACGTGCAGATGAAACATCCTGCCAAGATGATAGCAGTCTTTGGAAGAAACTTCCCCTCTGCAAGTTGAGGCTAATGCTTAGCACTGATAACAAGCCCCAAGGCATTACTAGCCTAGGGCTGATAGTAGGCCCCAAAGTTTATTATCTTGGCGCTAATAGCAGGCCCTAAGGCTTACTAGTTGGAGTTGATAGCAGGCCTAGAGATGCAAATATACCGCAATAACCCCATGAAGGTGGGAGCAGGGAAGCCCGAATGCAAGGGACTCTATTTTCCATTTACCCAGGTTATGGACTTGCCATGGTTGCACAAGCAAGACCAAGGAAGCCCCATTGGGCTTGGTATTAAGGCGTAAGATAGCTGATATCAAGCTTGGTTGTGGCCTTCGCCTTGGGAAGCTAGGGAGTTTATGGTTAGGTAGCTAAAGGTGGAGGCTTTGCTGAGGTGAACACGAATATAGCTGATAGTAAGCTAATGGAGTCTTGAGAATGCATGTATTGGCTAAATAAAATTGAGAAGGCAAGTTAAGCAGCAAGGTTTACCACTGTAAGTGCACTTGCTGAGGTTCAAGCTGAGAAGGCAAGTGCATCGACAAACACTCCTGTCACAACTATACTTGCTAAGGCTCAAAAAATGAGTTGCAACGCCAAACACTCTCATCGTAACTACACTTACTGAAGCTCAAAAAGGTAACTGCAGAGGCAAACATATAGTACACAGTACATGCAAAGGGACACGTGGCACCTTTAACCTAGTGGCTCAAGGCAGAATATTCTATGTGATCCTTAAGGACACCTGTCTTTTCTCTATTTGGTCACTTGGTGTCCTTTTGGTACCAAGAAAAAACCTATGAATAGAACCCATTTCCCAAGGTCCAAGGAGAGGAATTTTGGGATTTGGGGGGGGAGATGTTGCCCATTTGTACATTATCATTGTCTTCTTCTTAAGCTACTTGTTTCATCCTCACCCAGCTGCTCACTCTCTAACTTCCCAGACAGTTAGAGTTACTGTTGCTACTTATTCTCCAGTCATTCCATCATTCTTGGACCATTAACATAGTTTTATCTCTCTAATTACCTTCCTAACCTCAAACCTCCCTACACATAGATACAACCCAATGATATAGATATGATTAAGATTGTCTCTAGTTTAAGATCAGATTGGAGCATTGTGGTGCTTGTGGGCAGTAACGGAGCTATGAAGGACCTGGAGGGGGGCACATGCCCCCTCTCAGTTTTTGCATTTTTTTTTTTTGGCATATAAGAAAAATAATTAACCAATAAAAAATTATATAGAAATAACATTTAGAATGATTTCTTAATGACATTTTTCAAATTACAAAAATAATATGGTTATTTTGATTGAAAATGAAAAAATTACAACAAACCACATTATTAAAAAAATTTAGTGCAACGGTGATATCAAATCGTCACTTACATGTAAACATAGTTAATCTCACTACGAAAATGAGAAATTATTGAATTATTAATTATATTTAACAAGTGTGATTGATCTTCCATGTGCTATTTTACTATTGATTAGTGATATCATATATCGATGATAATGTGATATCACAATTATTTATATATTATTATATAATCTATTATAAGATATACAAGACTTTTTTGCATTGCCTATAATATATTAGTTATAACTAGCACCATATATTTCCAATTCTGATTTTTCACAAGGTTAATTGTAAAAACAAAAATTTTAAAAATTTTATATTAGAAATTTAAGATTTTGTGCATAATATTAATCTAAAAATTATTATCTATTGTTATTGATTATGAGGAAAAAAATTCATAATTTTAATTAATAAGTGCCCATTTTAATTTTTTTTTTGACTTCGCCATTGCTTGTGGGGGCTCATCATGAGACTTATTTTGATGATTTGAACCGTTTAATATGTAAAACTCGTTAAGTACTTTATTTTGTAAAAAAACACATTGATTGGATTCGATAGCTACTTGATCGGATCATATTTCTGTCAATGGTAAATATAATTTTCAAAATAAATTATTGACAAAAATTTGATCCGATCAAATAGTTATCGATATTGGATCAACGTAATTTTTTTCAAGGATAAAGTACTCGACGAGCTTTATGCATTGAACGGTTCAAAGTATTGAAATAGGACTCGAGGTGGATCCCACGAGCCTAACAACGCCATCCATTCCACAAAATTGACTAGAGACAAGCCT